TACTCCTACTCCTACTACGACTACTACTACTACTACTACTACTACTACTACTACTACTAGCACTAATGCTAACTAATGCTAATACTAGTACGGAAGCTAGTGCTAGTACTAGCACTGGTGCTAGTACTGGTACTAGTGCTAGCACTAGTAAGAGTACAAGTGCTATTACTAGTAGTGCCACTACTGGTGGGGAGTTAATGACACTTAGAAAGGTTATGTTGATGGCGGTGCGATCGCGCATTGAGGTTGAAAAGCATTGTGATTCCCGAATGCAGCTTTGCAGGAGGTGCGCACGGCTGTTTTTGCAGTGTCTCTTGGGATGAAGCTGCTTTGTCCCAGCACCCTTATCCCTCAACCGTGGTGTACTGACTCTATGCTAGAACTACTCTCTGTATAGCATCCCTACATCTCTAACATCCCCTTACCATGAACCACAGGATCTAGACAATACAACCGTGTCGAAACTTTCGGGCTAAGGGTTTATAGTTTATGGGTCTTTTTTAGGAACTTGAGCTACCACAGGAGAGATACATGTTAAAAAAATAACCAATAAGCTTTCCCCATTTTGTCATCCTGTCATCCTCATTTAGATTCATTTCTCTTGGTAACTACTCAAACAGGTCCCCAGCCGATCGAACGAGCTTGAGCAATGCGTCTGAAACATCGCACAACACAGCTTGGATGGGGAAACCTGCGTTTCAGACGGCCTGAACCATAAAACTCAAAGCCTCAAACTCTGTAAACGCAGCAAACAATCCAGAATGCTCTTCTTAAAAAAAGGAAAACCATGCAACCTTGCAGAGAAGACATCACAGCCCGAAACCTTAAAAGCCCAAACAGTAGGAGGCGAAACTCTAAGACAAAAAGGGCATCTGGCACCTTGGTGTTCTTCGAAAGAACTGCGGTCTGAAACAAGGGGGCGAGATCCTACGCCAGCTCACAGATTTGGAGACTTAGGCTTTTGGGTTAAGGGATTTTGGGGATCTAGGGTTCAAGATTTCGGAGCTTACCTGGTTTCAAAGTATTGGGGGGGGAATGCTAGATAAGTAGTTCCCACAGACAGTGCAGACGCCCGATCATGATCATCATCATCATCATCGTCATCATCATCATCATCATCGTTATGATCATCATGATCTTCATCGTCATCAGTAATGAAGCTGCCGCATTCGCCCGAGGCCCGAGGCACTGGAACCACAATGTCTTCGACCCTGAAGGACCTACATCTTTAAGGTTTGATGTAAGGACATCATAATGAGGAACCTTAAGAACAAATGAGGTTATTTGGGGTTCAGGTACAACTTGATGTCCAAAATAAAGAGGCGCACAACTTTCCGAAATTGAAAACCCTGAGCGCCTCACACTCCACCGGCGTTCAGCACCCCTCAAAACCTCAAGGCAAAGCCGCAAACCCGCAACTGCTCCTATCCTCTCGCAACTCCCAAAAGCCTGAAGATCAACCCATGGTCTGAACCCTTTCACATGAAGCATGGTTCTTATTACCTGACCGCCCGCAAATCCCACTCACCAATATTCAGCCAGCAACTTAAACCCTCAACATCAGAACCTATTGGAACCCTTGACAGAACCAGCATAAAAACCCCTTCTCATAGAATCCTTAAAAACACGCATGCATAAACCCTGCTTCACTTACTCTGCCCTCAAAGGAACCAGCCAAAGCATCCCCTAAAAGAACCCTCACAATAGCCCCGCAAGGAACCCCTAAAGGCACCCTTAAAGGAACCTTTAAAGGTCCGGTCCTGCGGCGAAACCTGGTTTGGGCCTGGGTTGCGCAAGACGCTAGGTGCATGAACACTTAAAAGATGGTTTTGGGGTAAATAAGACCGTAATTATGATGGGGTTGTGGTTGTAAAATACATAACACTGCGGTTCTGATTGGGTTTTGGGGTGATACGGTAATTCTGATGAAGAGCCCTCAAGAATCATACTTCTGCCTATGCGGGCGTCAGAAGTGTGCTGCTTCGTGGGTTTAGAGCCAGCATATGGCTTTGCTTGAAGAGCCTGGGGCCTCACACTGCTGAATGAGAAGTTACGGGCTTAGGGCGTCGTGTGCGTGTGTGTGTGTGTGTGTGTTACTTGTAAGGGTTTAGGGCTTACAGCCTCCGGAGACATGAGGCAGCATCTGACCCCAAGCTACCGCAGAATTTTGGCAGTCGGGGCGTGTCTGGGGCATGGCTTGCACTTGGGTCTAAAATGGGCTCTCGCTTGACCCGTACTTCAAGCTGACTACCCCGACGAGCTCTAAAGATGAAGGTGTTCTACAGAGAAATGATCGGTTCATGAGCGTTACGACTGTTAGGGTGTTCATGACGTTGACTATACTTAAAACCGTAACCGTATCATCTGTTGATAGCCCTCAATCTGGTTAGCAGCAGCAAGCATGACAGTGTGCTACATTCCTGATAGCATGATGATGAAAGACTAACATTGGCCAAAAAAGGGGGTCTGCACATGTCCAGTTGACTTTAAAATGTATATACGTGGTAAAGCCTCCCGGTGATTATAGCGTAATACACTCAAACTCTATGTTACTCGGTAGGGGTCCTATACTACTTGACCCCAAATTAGAAAACCCCCAGAATGACGTTCCACTCACGGCCACGTCGCTGATCGTGCGCTCTGACACATGCGAGCGGACCTGGAGTGCTGAGTTACTATGGGATTCGTGCCTTTCGGCTAAGGAGCAGAATTTGAGATGTTTGAGTTCAGTAACTGGACTTTCGGGATTGCCTTCAGGACTTCTTGCGGAATTTCTGGAATTCCGAGCACACGGGCGACGGACTACGCCGTCTTGCAGGTCCCAGGCAACCACAGGCCCCATCCAGAAGCCTAAACACAGAAACAAAGCTGTACACCTCAAGGGTGGCCATGTGCAGACACGCAGGGTTTAGGGGTTTAGAAGTTTAGGGCTTTATGAAACTACTAACTGATGCCAGCTGCATTGCCGGTTTCCAGCAGATAGTCAACGATGGCAAGCTGCCCACGCCTTGAGGCATAGGGTGAGTTCTTGTGAATGAACCTAAGTTATCTTAAGAGGGATCAATTAGGAATAATGGTTTTTCTTACTATAGAAACTTGCCTTAAACTCCTTAACAAGCCGGCTTGCGCCTAGAGCAAATCTTACTGAAGCAGAGGCCGTTCCGCTAGCAGCTCCAGGGTACTATCTCCATCCCTGCGAGTAAGGCTAACCATGTCACAAGAAGGGTCGCTAAACATCGTAGCCGTCCTCATATTCGTGATAACCACAAGGAATGAAGAAGAGCTCTACCTCTGAATTTGCCGGGCTCTACGAAGCCCTGATATTATCCTGGCTGACATACCCTTGTACAAACCTTTCAAGCGGGCTCGTCATGAGGGCTTGACACGGAAGCTGGCACGATGAAGCTGCTTTTGTACTGCGAGCATAGCTTCAATCAGACACCCTTAACCCTCAACCCGAAAACTTAAGCCTTAAACCCCCAACCCTAAGCCCGAAACCCTAAACCCTCAAAAGAGGCGCTGCCAAAGATGAATCTAGCCGAACAATGGTTTTTTCAGTGTCACCAAAAGTCTTAAGGCCTCGAACAAAAGGGCCTTGGTTTTACGGTCTGATTATCGTGGTGGGGTTCAGGTTTAGTTGAGGGTTCAGGATTTAGGGGTTTACAGGGCTCCATAAATTGTTTAAGGTTTGATGAATGTCGCCCAGGGTTATATTACATAGCTTTATTGGCGTTAAGTTAACACTGAACCCTTCAAAACTAGTATAGGATGTTTTGATGGCGTCTTGCTCACATATAGGCACTATGGGTGAATGCAGTATCACCCTGAAGGGTCCGTGTCATATGTCGTATCTGCTAATATCCCTAAAGCTGTACGGCCAACATATGATACTTGGCCCAAACCAAGCCCCGACGCATCACCTGATTTCAAACCTTTACTTCCTAAAGCTGGTTTCGTGCTCAGGAATTTGTTTAGAGTTTCGGCTATATAGCAAAAGCTATGCTTTGCTTACTATGGTCTCTTAGACTACAGGACTTGAGTACGCAACAAGCAACGACAACAGCAGCAACAACAATCACAACCACAACCCCCGCAAACCCTAAACCCCTAACCCCCTGTGTAGCAGAAGGCCGTAAGACCCAAACCCCTAACAAACCAAAAAATGCAAAGCCCTGAGGCCGAACGCCCTGAACCGCAGGAATGTCGGGCCAAGCGTCATAATTGCACTGCACATAGGCACCCGGCCGTTCTGCAAAACAGGGCAGCAACAAGTGGGGAGGTTCTATAAGAGTTCCTTGGGGGTGTTCTACAGGGTTTCGGGCTTTACAGGGGTATATAACACGCGACTCTGTAGTTATGCTAAGGAAGTCTGGGGCATAGTTGTGGCCAATATTATTCATTATTTGGAACAGCCCTGAAATTACCGAAACCCCGAATGAACTGTTGCTGTGTAATTTTACCTACTTGTCCGGTATCATGGGGAACTAAATGCTAACCTATTGGGGTTATATAGCGATTGATTCTGTACCCCAAACAGGTTAAAGGTTACCGACTCTACTACTAAATTTACCATGGAAACAAGTCATCCATGGACTACCCAGACCGTACACCCTCTTGACAGGTGCCCTCCCCTGAGAACTTGCAGCACTTCCGGCCAAACTCCAGTGACTCACCATCTGTGATCCCCTGGGCCTGGGAAAATGAACCTGAAGCCAAAAACCCAGAGCCCTAACCACCTGCGTTCCGAGCCTATAAAGTCCAGAACCGGTTTTGGGGCAAGAAGCACCTACACATCCAAAACTTGGGTGTCGGGTTTAGGATTTAGGGGATAGGGGTTTAGGGGGTTCCAGGGGTTTAGGGTTTGGGGTTTGGGGCTGCTTTCACTCTCAGATTGGGCACCTTTTCTTCTGCACACCTGTGCCGGCATGGCACCGCTAAGACTCAGGTGACCAACGTTGATGCACGTACCTCCCGTCATGATGACTCTGGCACTCGATCCCATGGCTCTGGTGACATTTGGGAGTTTCCGAAAATAGGGGACCCTAATATAGCACCCTAAATAGTAGGATCCTTATTATAAGGACCCCAAAATAAGGTACCCCAGATTTTCGGAAACTCCCATTTTTCTGTCAATGACTGGCGTAATTGTGAGAACAGCGGGTGCCCTCGCCAACTCAAACTTGTGAACGGCTGTGAACGGCCAGCACTCTGGCTCTAAAGCTTCCTCCTCCTTGCACTCTCGCAGGAAAGGCAAACGGACCGGTCCGCGAAGTCCTAGGAAGTGCTCGGAGGGTTTAGGGTTTAGGGTTTAAGCTGCACTCGGAGTATGTGACTGTCGCATGCCGCACACAACTGTGCAATGTTTTGCACGCCACAAGCGCACGGCAGCAGATCCATGAAACAAACTTACACATGAAAAGGTCCAGTACGAGAGTACTATAGCCCCTAAACCCTAAACCCTGAATCATGCGGCAAGCAATGATGGGCATGTCATCTCAAGCCCGAAGCCCTGAGTGCCAACCCTAAAACCTAAACCCTAAAACCTAAACCCTTAACCCTACACCTTCCTAACGGCTAGACCCTAAACCACTAAACCTTGAATCCGAAGCCCTATAAGCCCCAAAATTGGCAATGCCTCGTCCGGCATGTTTATGTCCGCGCGATTCTCCACGAGGCACTTAACTACTCCGAGCTGTCCTTCCACAGACGTTTAGCTAGGGTTTGGGGTGTAGGGTTCAGGCTAGAGGGTTTAGGGGTTTCTGGTTCCATAAACGGTCCCTAAAAAGGGGTGTTTAAGGGATACTACGGAGGTTTTAAGGTTTAGGAGTTTAGGGCTTGAGTGCTTTAGGGTTCCATTGAGGGTCCGTCTAAAGGGGCCGATAGGTGTTACTATGGGGGTTATTAGGATTTAGGCTCACTTGTCCACAATACTAGCATTTTACGCACCAGGTTGGACCTCTGTCACAAAGATTCGTAAATACGATCCTATCTAGTCTCAGGGAAAGAAGATGTCATAGCTACCAGGAGGACCCTAAACCCCAAACCCAAAACCCTAAACCCCAAACAGCTCATTTCGTCGAAGGTTGAAACTGAAGGATTCGTGGCCTCTTGAGGTTGTAGGTTTACGGAGGGTTTAGGGCTTTATGGTGATGATTTAGGATTGTCAGTTCAGAATATCAATGGCTGCATACTGTGCTGCTAAATCCGCCCTGCATCACAAAACGCACAACAACGGAACCCTAAAACCCGAAGAAGCAAGCTAATGTAGAAGCCTCAAAAATAATTAGAAAAGGGTTTTGGGGTTCATTATACTATACTTACAATAAGGAACCCTCAAAATAGTAAAGGTAATTATTTAGGCCCCTATATTATGTCCAACTCACGTGACAACCCAGCAGCAGGCGTCTGAGGAGCCGAAACACTGCTGTCTGTACCCTAAAGTCAAGACCCCACCCAAAAACCAAACCCCACACCGCAGGAACGCTCAATAGGATAATATGCTACCACGCCCGAACCCACAAAAAGAGAACACCCTGCTCCTGAACTGCAGGCATTGTGCAGGTTCTCTGTGGTCACTGCCTGCCAAGAAGTCTGGTGGGTTCAGGCCTTCAACCAACCGTTTTTGGGATTTTGGTGTTGATCCTTAGGAAAGGCTTGTAGGAATAAGTGGCGCTAATGTGCCAATGACTTCAAGAACGCAAGGCATGAAACAACTCCTTTTAGTATCCTTACGGCCTTAAACCCTAACCATAGGCTCCATTGTAGTTCCCATTTTGCATATAGGCATATATATATATATATATAACCCGATAATTAAGGTGCTCCCAACAGGAACTGCAGTGGGGCCATGGGGCAAACCCTACACCCTTAACCCTACCCTCGGCCCACGACCACGTTCCATCCTTCGCCAACTCCAGCACGCAGCGCACGACCTTCTCCTGACCTTCAGAGTCCAAGGGCGGAAAGCTTTTTCAGTACATATGTACATGTATATTATAGATGTATGTGTTTTTATATATATATATATGTATATATATATATATATATATATGTATATATCTACCTCTGAATGTGTTTGTATTCGGTTATACTTTATTTTATATGTATATCACTATTTGCGTTTCTGTCTCTGCTATGCGTGGGTCGTGCCTAGGGTCTGGGGATCTTGGGATTTTAGGGTTTAGGGTTTAGTCCGGCCTCAGAATACTTTGACTCGGGGTTCTGGTTTAGGGTTTAGGGTTTAGGGTTTAGGGTTTGGCTTCTAGGGTCCATGGTTGAGGGTTGAGGGCTCTGCAACTCGGGGCTTGGGGTAGTTATGGTTGGGCTTCCAGGCTTCATGGTGCGGAGAACGCAGATGATGCCATTAGACCTCTTTAGGGTTTAGGGTTTAGGGTGTAATTAGACCTCTTTTATAAGGGCGGCTGTAGCTCAATTTGGACTTGGACTTGATGCTGCTGTGTCTTGTGGCTTCATCATATTTTGGTGTCGCGTACATAATGCAGGGGCCTTAGAAGAGGAACAACAGGAACGCTACATAACCGACCCTGAACCCTGATAGCGCTTGTAGAGGCCTTTCTAGAACACTGCGAAGACACGTAAACGAACAACTAGTGGAAACCCGAGACCCTAGCGCTTTATCGCTGAATCCTAAACTCCCTTAGAGGAGGCCTAAAAGTTTACTTGTGCAGTATCCTGGGGATTTGAAGGTTAACCTGTGCAAAAAAGGTCAAAGGCTTCCGTCCGACTCTACTACTTTGACAGGAACCAACATTGCAGGAATCCCACAACCCTAAGCACGGTTTAGGGTTTAGGGTTTAGGGTTTAGGGTTTAGGGTTTAGGGTTTAGGGTTTTCCACGCTAAATCGTAAACCCTTAGAGGAACCCTAAAAGCTTGCATGTCCAGTAACCTAGGGGGCTTGCCTGTTAACCCTTGGAATTGTCTGAGGACGATAACCCCCAAAACTGTTCAAGGCTGTACTCTAGCTGCTACTACTGCAAGTTCCTGAACCCTAAACCCCAACCCTCAACCCTATAACCCGATAACCCCAAACCCTATAAAACCCTATAACCCCATAACCCTAAACCCAAAGTCCTAAACCCTAAATCCCAAACCCTATAAAACCATAACCCTAAACCCTAAATCCTAGACCCTATAAACCCTAAACCCTATAACCCCATAACCCTAAGTCCTAAATCCTAAATCCCAAACCGCAAAATCCCATAACCCTTAACCCTAAATCCTAGACCCTATAAATCCTAAATCCTAAACCCCAAACTAATCCCATAACCCAAACACCTGGACCTATATAAATCCTAAATCCTAAACCCCAAAACAATCCCATAACCCCAACCCCAAACTCCCAGACCTATATAAATCCTATATCCTAAACCCCAAAATAATCCCATAACCCTAACCCCTAACTCCTAGTCCCTATAAATCCTAAGTCCTAAACCCCACAATAATCCCATAACCCTCAACCCTAACCCCATCTAAGAAAGGAGCCTTAGACCATCCCGCAGTGATGGCGCCTTCCCGGGTGGCTGCGCGCAAGGCCTCCGCCTGAAAGGTCGGATGCAACTTTGCTTTGGATTTCGGAATTGGGGCTTTAGGGGTTTAGGGTTTCGGAATTGGGGGTTTAGGGGTTTGGGGTTTCGGAATTGGGGGTTTCAGGGTTTGGGATGTAGGGTTTGAGGGTTTGAGGGTTTCCTTCGGGGGCTCCTCCAAGGGTGCCCCTTAAGGCTTCCTTTCAAGTGTGCTTCGGATTCCTTTAGCGCTTTTAGGGCTTCAAGGGTTTAGGATCTTAGGGTTTAGGGTTTAGGGTTTAGGGTTTAGGGTTTAGGGTTTCTTAGACTGCTAGGGGATAAAATGACAAACTTTGCCGAGCCCGAAAAGTCTGACGCTTGCAATGGGTTTGCGCCTCGTAGGTGCAGGGGCCGCCAGATGATATACATTTATGTGTATACGTATATATATATATATACATACATACATACATACATACATACATACATACATACATACATACAAACACAGAAAGGTACGCCGTGGGGGAGGGGAGTTTGGAATAACACCTTTTAATTGAGTTGAGTTGTGTGATACAAGTCTCTCTCTCTCTCTATATATATATATATAGATGGTGAGAGATGGTGTTAGATAATTATAACTACATAAAATTTAAATATATATATATATATATCTTATTTATTTACTTATTTCTTATCCCCATGTATGTAACCCGAAAGCCCCGCAGCCGAAACCCCGAAAGTCTCAAAAACACCTAACCCTCCTCCGCCCCCCACAGAATTCCAAAGATCTTGTCTGTTGTACTTTGTGTTGTGGATACCCTAACCTAACATCGGGTGCTATGCTTTGAGAGCCTCGAAATCATGCTCCAGCCCGAGGCACTCTCTGCGCGAGGTCCAACACACTCTGCACCATGCGCTGCCTCATTTTCAGGTGCAGGGCTTCACGGGACTGTAAGGCTAGGTTTTAAGACCTTGTGCGGCTCTATAAGGCCAAACCCTAAATCCCATACCCGCAACCCTACAACCTAAAACCTAAGCCCTAAACCGCAGTTTAGGTTGAAGAACTCGAAGAGAGTCTAGCCGAGGGTTTCCGAATCGGGGCCATTCGTTAATGCTTAAAATAAGCTGTTTTGGACACCTGATATAACAATAACGTATATAGTAATGAATACGTGTATTTACACACACACACACACACACATATATATATATATATATATATATGTGTGTGTGTGATTATTTATCTATTTATTTACCGATCTATTTATCTATGTGTTTATCTATTTATCTGTTTATTCGTTTATATATATATATATATCACATGTATGCGTGCATATATAAATATATACACAGATAGAGACAGAGGGGCACACACACAAGTAGGCAGTGCGAGCGAGCAGGATACTACCGCAAATCTGTCAGACTGCAGACTTTCTTGTCGACATCGTTTGTGCCTTCAGATTGCTTGCAGGCATGGGCTTTACGCACTGTTTGCAGTTCTCGTCTTAAGTTACTGGCATGTTAATACATCCGAACGCAAGGAATGAACCTAGCTCTGATTGAATGCAGCTCCATGACCTCCTTTCGGAAAGGAGCTCGTATCGACAACGCCCCCTCCCCCCCCACATGAAGCGACCAACTCGCGATTTAGGAGGTGGAGGATGACCGGGCTTGGGCTTTGAGTATTGAGCTGCCCTGGATGTACAGAAAGTCCGAACCCTAGAGCCGATAAGCCCTCAACCCTTAAGCCAAGACCGAGTGTCCCATGCTCTTGCGCCAGCTGGCTGTGAAGATTGCTGTCGCGCTCGGCCTCTGACTTACTGGTCCAGTCCAGTATGCTAGGATGTTTAGAGGTTGACTTTGGAATTCTGTAGGGGGTTATAGTACCCGAATGGCCTGAACCATAGGGCCTCAACCCCATCATCCTAAACCCCCTAGCCCTGAACCCTAAACCCCACTAACCCTGCACCCTAACGAAAGCGAAAGGTCACCTGCTCTACTACTAAGCTTGGGGGGGTCGAGATTCGGGATTCGGATTAGGGGTGTTTAGTGGTTTAGGGCTTTGGGTTTATTAGTGTAGGGGTTTACTGTAGGGTTTAGGGCTTAGGGTTCATTAGTGTAGGGGCTTTATCTTAATGTTTAGGGGGCGGGTAGTTTTAATGGTTTAGGGCTTCGTAATGTCTGGCTTCGGATCTGGGGAGCTAGGATGGCTGGCTTAGGGCTTCCAGTTCAAGGGGTCTGGGGCGGCTTGGGGGGGTTTGTGTGATCGGTGTGTGGGACTTTTCAGCCGTGTTTCTGGCTTTGCATAGGTTTTAGAAGCTGGACCTGGGCGATGCGACCGGACTCGGACAGATCCATTCAGCTATCAGCTGCACAGGGATTCCGAATTTATTTAGGGTCCCGTTAAGGATCCCTTTAAGGGGTGGCAGCTCCACAGGCACTTCGGGTTCCTTTGCGTTGTGCTGGCTTACTTATTCTCCAGTCGCCTCGGGGATTTAAACGTGAACCTTTGGAACTACATAAGTAAGCATTGTAGTACCCTACAGTGGTTGAAAAAGGTTACCTACTCTACTGCTAGCTGGCCTGGCCTGAGGTAAAGAGCCTTGTCTGTTCTGTTCATATAGGGGCCTTACTAATTATAACAGGGTTTTGGGGCCACTATACTATAACTAGTTGTAATAAAGAACCCCCCAAAACAGCATTGATAATGATTTCGGCCCCTATATTACTAAGGACAGCTTTGGAATCCCAAGCCCAAGCACTCTTTGTGCTTCGGGTTTGGGGTGTGGGATGGCATTCCGAGACCCGAGGATGATAAACTCCAGACCATACCACCCAAACATCTTTGAGCCCCAAACAGTAGAACCTAACTCCAAAATTCCCAAACCCTTAACTCCGAACACACCGGACCAAGCCCCCCGAAGTGACGCCCTAAACTTTCAAGCCCCCAGAAAACACCTAAAACCCCTATCCACAAAATCCACGAACACCCTCAATAAATTGGATCTGTAAAGCCCTAGACCATAAACCCTAAAGTAAGGCCTGAACGTGAAGCCAAGCGAAACTCTGAACATCTTATAGAGCTTCAACTGAGTAGAATATGGGCTGTGCGATGCATCATACTTTCAAAAACCAACGAAAAAAGGATGAGGAGTATCTACACAAGTTAAGAGTTATCATAGTACAAGAGGACCCTGAATAAGGAATAGCATAAGTAAGTTATGAGCACAGATATGATACACAACAGGATCCCTTGTGAATAGTAGTAAACTATTGAAATAAATATATCATTATTGCTTGTACAACTGATATGCTTGTTATCTTACTCATACTAATGTTGGCATTAATTAAACCATGTATTGAGACCCCACCACACTGAGCCTTGCCCAGCGCGCAGCCTGCCTGTGTCCTCTGCGGGGCCGGGTGATCGGGGTTTGAGGGGGGTAGGGCTTTGGGTTCTAGGTTTTTTTGTTTTCGGGTTTAGGGTTTAGGGTTTCAGGATCTCATTTCAGGCTAGAAAAGTGCCAAAGGCTACTACTAGGTAGGGATTGGTTTAGGGTCTTCAGGAACCGAAGACTCTACGGCCTAAAGCTAATGGAGGCCGTAGGCCTTAACAGTCGGGTCTTCGGGGTGGATGAGAGAGGCCTCTGGCTTTTGGGTGCTTTGGGGACTCCGCAAGGCGCCAAAGACAAAGAAATACCTGCACCGAGCCGTAGGGTTCGGGCTTTCGATGGCTTCCGGGTTTCGGAACCCTATAGACCCCAAAAAAACGGAGCTTCAAGAAGCATGGCAGTTCATGTTTGGAAGCCTTGAAGTTCAACTGGGGGTTCCCGACAATAGGGGACCCTAATATAGTACCCTAAATAGTAGGATCCCTATTATAAGGACCCTAAAATAAGGAAAACCCTAAACCCTAAACCCTAAACGGAAACCCCCAAATGAGAAAGTCCATGACTCGATGCCGGATCAGCCGGAGGAGCGGCGGCTCGACCAGAAATTCGATGCTTGACAGAGTTGAGAGTTTCCGAAAATAAGGGGTACCTTATTTGGGGGTCCTTATAATAAGGATCCTACTATTTAGGGTACTATATTAAGGTACCTTATTTTCGGAAACCCCCATATGAGTGTAGGCTTAGGGTTTCAGGGCTTTGGGGTTTCAGGATCTCGACATAATGATTAAGATCTCGTGTACAACATTTTGTGAATTTAGTCTGTAGGGGCTTTGGCGCTTTAAGCTGGGACTTCAGCTTTACGCTCAGGGTCCCGACAGCATAACGACACTGCTCACGATTTGAACGTAGAAGCTCAATGTTTCACCGTCAATACCCTAGGGGTATGTTCCTTGCGATCGGGGATTTGGGGTTTAGGGCATGAGCGGGTGGCCATTCTAGCCTCTATACAAACACCAACCGACCACTAACGACACTGAAACCTTGAAGCTGTAAACCCAAAACCCTAAACCTCTACTCTAAACCCCTAAATCCCTGAACCCTAAACCCCATTACCCTAAACCCTTCTAAACCCCTCTAAACCCCCTAAAGCCCTAATCCCTGAACCCAGTAATCTCGTAAAGGAAGCCGGGGCGCAGCTCTTTCACCACCTCTTCGTGGCCCAAGGCTGCCGCGTAGAAGATGGCGGAGTGCCTCAGAGACATGGCAAGTACCCAGAGACTCCAAAAAAAAATAAGGAATGTACCGGGGTTTTGAAGTCTCTGGGTAGCTTCCGAGTCTTAGGGGTTTTAGGGCTTAGAAATTCAGCAGGGGCTTAGGGTTTAGGGGTTTCAGGGTTTAGGGGTTAAGGGTTTAGGGCTTAGGGGTTTGAGGCCTCCGTGGTCTTGAGAGTCAATCTTCGAGTTCACGGTGCCAGGCGTGGGTATGCAATATAGAAGCACTGCTCCTTACTATGACTATAGCTGACGATCTTATATACCCCGTGCCGTATTCTACTGATTAAAGATGAAGGCCGCAATATAATCATCAACGAGATCGAAGGTGCATCACCTCCGCAGCCAAACTCAATTTACAATTATACCAAAGAGCACACCCGAAACCCCAAACATCCCTAAACCCCAACGCTCGATGCCTAAACCCAAACCGCCAAGACCCTGTACCTAAATCTAAATCCCAAGGCTCGTACCTAAACCCTAAACCCCAATGGCCTGTTCCTAAAGCCAAGACCCCTAAGACCCTGTACCTGGAGCCTATGAGCCCGAAGACCCTGTGCCGAAACCCCTTAATCCAAACTCCCCAAAAGCCCGGCAGAATCAAGCACTTTTTGCCCTTGCCTCCACCACCGTGCACTTGGGTTGCGACTTTAGCGGGTATTCTCCGGATTCGGTTTGACACGTGCAAATGTGACCTCCATTCCTTTGGTGTGCCTGCTATCCCACACCTTCCCTTCGATAGCCGTCACACCCCATAAAAATCCTACTCACACACACAGATCGTGAATTCTTCTCTTCTAGATTTAACAATGCAGCAACAATGAAAACAATGTGATACCTCCTGCGGCTTTAAATGTGGATACCGCTGTTCGGGCACGTAGTGTACTGTAAACATGAAGGTGTTGTATAGTGGAAACCGCCACGCAACCGCTAGACGAACTTAATTTGGACTTCCGTGGTAATTAATGAGGCTACGAACAATTATTGCAAATGATTCGCCACCTCTAACTACCATCATGGACTTTAACGAGTGCCCGAATAGTGTCACATAGATGTTCTACATGTACGACACCAAAGGCTGAAAACAAGGGCTTGGTATGGGCGAACCCTAAACCCGAGGCAGCCCCCCATGGATCATTTCCTTGTGGCCGCTTCACGCTTGTGCCGGGGGTCCTCGGAAAGGTTTTACAACGGTTGCGGTCCAAGGGTCTAGGGTCTAGGGTGTAGGGTTTAGGGTTTAGGGGTTTAGGGTTTAGGGTTTGGTTAGGGTGTAGGGTTCTTGCACCGTAAGCCCACATGGCGAAGAACACCTTCAAGCTATGACTGACACTGGCCATACGCGCATCAGCAGCGACAACCAAAGCAGTAAAGGGCGCCTCAGCAATTAGACTAGGGTTTGGGGGCCATTTTGAAGCTATATATGGGAACATAAGATGACAACATGACCAGTTCTTCCGACCCTTGATCACTCGTGAGTCTGAAACGTTTGAACCCACAATCCCACACCTAAACCTGAACCGTAAACCCTGCACCCTACAGCCTCAACCCTAAATTCCTAAGTCCTCAAGACTAAACCTCTAAGCCCGAATCGGAAACCCTCAGCCCAGAAGCCTTAAGCTACAAGCCCAGCATCCACAACCCTGAAGAGGATTGAAGTTCAGGGCTTGTTTTTGGTGGTTCAGGCTGTTAGGGTTCAGGGTTTAGGGTGTCTTTTGGGGTTTAGGATTTAGGGTTAAGGGTTTAGCGTGTTTTTTGGGGTTTAGGCTTTTAGGGTTTAGGGTGCTTTCGGGGTTTAGGCTTCTAGGTTTAAGGGTTTAGGGTGCTTTCGGGGTTTTAGGTTCAGGTCTAGACCTCCTGGCCAGCGTAAAAAATGGGGCCCATCGTGCACACAGGATTTAGGGTTTAGGGTTTACTTTCCTGACACCACCCCAAACAATCTTAAACTCCAAACTCACCCCAAAAGCTCAACGGAAAACCCCCGGCGCCCTAGTAATCCTGAAACCTCAACCTTTAAACGGCATCGCAAGATCTTCTCCAAGGCTCCTTTCCTCTTCAACTTGTTTCGCGGAGGCGTCCTAAGCATCCAGAAAGCCCAATAAATGGCTACGTGCTTGTTTAGGGCGAGGGCGTTTAGGATTTAGGCTTCAGTTAGGTTTCTGGTAGTCGTCTAAGACCCTGGTAGCCCGGGAATAAAAAGGGCTCCCGTTTTGGTATTGAGTAGTTGGTTAAACCAAGACCACATAAAGAACGTATGCTTCTGAAGGGGGCGAGGTGGGCGTTCGCGGGGCTTCGGATCGAGAGCGTAGGGCTGTGATTTGTACCATCTTCCTCATCATGATAGTCCTGAACATCAGGGACGGGCTCATCACCGCTTCATTGCTGCCGACCCCTAACATCATGCAAACAAGCGCTGTTATCGTTGGTCGAAAAACATGCAGAGTACCTTACGGTCACGGCAACATCCACGGCATGGCCGTGATAGTTCGAGCATCCTAGCTCCGACTGCTGGCAAAGGCACAACTTCCCCAAAGCTTTGCGCTGGGCTGTGTGGAAGGTCTCGGCTGAAGCCTTCATCTTCACAGCGCGTGCCTGAGACAAGCAGTTACACCGAGGAGGCAAGTAAAGCAGGGTGGTGAGATACAGGGTCGTAAAACTATATAGGGGCTGTCAGGGGATGGTGTTGCTAGCGAGACAGACCCCTATAACTCGATGCATGGTGTAAGCGGGTGAATTCTGGTACCTCAATCCTACCCCTTACTTTGCTGCAGGGTCTACACGTATCTGGTATATGAGGGTTTGGAGGAGCAGGTACGAGTAGATATCGGTAAATTGGAAAGAACAGCCTTGGAAAGAATAGCCAAACAACTCAGTCGGGCATGTGTTCTATGAACCTCACACCCTAAACCGTAAGCTGGGGTTGCAAGTTGTATTGTAGATCAATGAACTGGAGTATCTGACAACGGGTTCCCTGTTGGCTTTGGAAGAGCTGGTTTGGACTCAAGCGTTCATGAAGAGACCTCCACCAACACCTTACTTGTCCAGTATCCTCGGGATGCTCAACTGAACCTTTGGAATTTGGAATTCTAATCTAGGGCAATCTAGGGGTTATAGTACACCAAAAAAGGTTAAAGGTTACCTACTCCACTGCTAAGCTGCTCCTCTGAACATAAACCCGTCTGCAGCCCCAGTTCCCCCCCTCCCGGGCCCATAATCTTGCACCCGAAACCGAAATCACCCTAAACCTGAAATCACAGAAGCCACCCCAAACCCTGAACCCCGAAATCACCCTAGAACCCCTAAACCCTAAACCCCAACAGCACCCCCCCACCCCCCCTCTTCACAAAAAAACCCTCGACCCCCTGAACCCCGGAATGAACCTTGGAGAGCGTGGTTTCCAGCTCTGTCAGCAACTGCTCGCGCCGCTTGTTCAATCGACGGGCTTTCCTCATGATTAAACTTAGGGGCCAGGTTTACTTTGAAAGCTTTGCTTACTTGTCCAGCATCCTAGGGGATTTACAAGTTAACCTTTTGATGGGGATTCTAGTACCGCTAACATATTCAAGGCTACCTACTCTGCTACTAAGTTGGGATTTGCCTATAAGGTGTGCCTTAAACTTCTCTATGTCAAGGAGCACTTTGTCAGGAACACCTAAGTTAAGAAGCCCCACTTAGGCTCTCACCAATGGCTCAGGGGCAGAACTTCGAGACTTTTGAGATTTGAAGCACAAGGTTTCGGTGGTGGCGTAGGACTTGTTCTTGGGGATTCGGCTTTGGGAACTTACAAATTTAGGTATTGGGGTCGGTTAAGGCCCACAGGGTTAAGGGTTTGGGGTTTTGGGTTTAAGGTCTAGGGCTCAGGGCTTATAGTGCTTGAGGTTTTGCACTCACTCGAAGTGAGGGGCTGTTGAATTCATGCTCTGGGGTTCATCCTCCCTTCTGACCACAACCCTAAACCCTAAACCCTAAACCCTAAACCATACGTCGACTCAAAGGCCGAAGGGACTTAGTAAGTAAGGTTGTAAGCAAGGTTCTCATTAGGACAGCCCCACTTATAAGGGGCGTGTAAACCCCAATCGTAGTAACCCTACTCACTAGGTCCCCTGAGCCCTTAAGTCGACCCCTAAACTCTAAACCCTAAACCCTCAACCCCAAAACCTAAACCCTGAACCCTGAAGTCGACCCCTAAACCCTAAACCCTCAACCCCAAACCCTCAAACCATAATGGGATCCCGGATATAATTTGAGGTACATTAACACATAATGGGATCCCTGATATAGTTTGAGGTACATTAAATTACAATGGGATCCTGAATATAATTTGAGGTACATTAACGTATAATGGGATCCCGAATATGATTTGAGGTGTATTAAATTGAAGAGAATGATTTTGGGGAAGATCTGGTTTCCTGCGTTTAGATAGGGCCCCGAACAAGCACATGAGCAAAAAGGAGGATAGGGTGTCACAGATAAACCTCCTTATATAAAGAAGCCCGACAAGGTAGGGATGTCCCTGTAACATGCTCATGCTTATGTCCCTTTGGGGGCCCCTAATAGGATGCTTTATGCAATCAGGGGCATCCGATTGTGGGTCCTCACGGCTAAACACCATGCCCGAAATCCTAAGCTTGTGTTGTAACAATTGTGCGGCGATATCGAAGTCTGTACACAGGGTTCCTGGTTTTTGTTGCAACTGCCGTGAGGATGTTGAGTCATGTTGGGCTCGGGTTCGGGTTCGACCCTGTCAGCTTTTCTGCTGCGTACCCTGATCTGCAGAGCCCTGAATAGCAAAAACTCCATTTTGGGGCATCCATCCTCCACTGGGCGACTCTGCGCAGTGGCACTTATACTTAATTTTTTGCAGTGAGTATTGTCTTTGCTTGTGTGGAGTTTTTTGTAGTTCTTCCAACAACATTCGAACGAATCGTTCGTGCGAGGCTGAACCTGATGCCAAAATGGCAAAAAGAGTGTCTGCTGCAGCAGCAGCAGCAGCAGCAGCAGCAGCTGCAGCAGCAATACAAGCTGCATGCGGTAGGCCCTGAACTCAAGATTGTGCCCCAGACCCTCAAAGCCTAACTGGGATCCGCAAACCCAAACCCACCCTGAATCGTCGTAGACCCTGAACCCCGAAGCCTACACCCAAACAAAAAATCCAAACCCCAGGCCTTATATATGGACCTGAATAGCTAGAATCGGGTACTGAACACCACTCGACCCCCCACCCAACGCACCATGAACAACAACAAGCAACCCAGCACAACGAAACCTAAAAAGCTGTCTTTCTATCCGAGGCGCTCTTGCAAAAAGCCCGTGGCCACGGGGGCTGTCGCGGCAACGGCTTGGAACTGGGGTTCTTTCGGCGCCGTTGTGGAACCCAAGTTCCGAATCTTCAACCTGCGTCATGTTGGTCGCTACGGTTTAGGGTTTAGGGTAGGGATCAGTCAAGAGAGGGGCGTGGCATCTTTGTGTTGCAGCACGCTAGGCTATTGCGACCATGTCAGAAATGCTCTAGACTCTAGACTCCCACCAGCTGAAAGCTCTTGCAGCAAGTCTTTTGGATCTGTTTGCTGCAAGAGCTTTCAGCTGGTGG